AAATTAATTTTATTGCTGCATTTAACGTATACAGTATAATGACATTCATCACTGGAAATTTGCACCTTTACATAATCGCTCTTGGTTCTTATTTTTTCCCCATTCCCTAGCCCTCCTTTCAACTCCTCCACTCTTCCCTATCTACAAAGACTTTGTTTCCAGTTTTTCATTTTCTCATATTAATCCCATTCCCTTCTTTCTTTTCCCCTACATTGCACTTCCCCTTCCCCTTTGCACATTTTCTTTCTATTTCACATTATCTGTTATGACTTTTAGTCCTTATTTACATTTTCAGTTTCTCACACTAGAGAAACTATTCAGTATTTACACATGTGTATCCTATTTATTTCACTTAAGAGTATCACCTCAATGTGCATCCATTTAGTTATAAATGTCTCTAGTTTCTTGTTCTTTATGGCTGAGTAATACTCTATTTTGTAAAAAAAGAAACCTCACATTTTCTTTATCCAGTCCCCAGTTGATGGGCAGTTGGGTTGCTTCCAAGTTTTAGCTATCATGAATTATGCTGCTAAGAACATGGGTGCACATATCACTGTGGTATGATTCTTTTAATTCTTTGGGGAAGATACCCAGCAGGGGAGTACCTGGGTCAAATGGGACTTCCAATCCTAGTTCTTTGAAGTAGCTCCATACTGATTTCCACAGTGGTTGCACCAGTCTACACTCCTGCCCTCAGTGGAGCAGTGTTCCTCTTTCCCCACAGCCTTGTCAACATTTGTTATTGGATGATTTCACGATAGCAGCCATTCTTTCTGGGGTGAGGTGGAATCTCAGCGTTGTTTTCATTTGCATCTCTTGAATGACCAGTGATGTTGAGCATTTTTTCATGTTTATTTGCTATTTCTACTTCTTTGTCTGCGAAATGTCTGTTCATTTCAGATGCCCATTTTGGATTGGGTCTTTAAATTTGGGAGGCCTGATTTTTTTAAGTTCTTTGTAGAAGTAGACCTTTGTCTGAGGGACAGCTGGTGAAAATTTTTTCCCACATTGTGGGTTGTCTATTCACACTGTTGGTGGTTTCTCTTGCTGTGCAAAAGCTTTAGATCCCACTTGTAGGTTGTGCTAGTTCATGGGCAACTGAGGTTTTGTTCATAAAATCTTTTCCTACACCAGTGTCTTCAAGAGTTCTACCTAATCTCTCTTCCAGCCAGTTTAGTGTTTCTGTTATAATATTTAGATCTTTAATCCATTTCAATTTTAGTTTAGTGCATGATGAGAGATATAGGTCTAGTTTTAATCTTTGGCAAGTTGAAACCCAGTTTTTCCAGCAGCATTTATTAAAGAGGCTATCTTTCCTCCAGTGAAGGTGTTTGGCTCCTTTGTCAAAGATGAGGTGGCTGAGTGTGTCTGGAATTGTTTCTGCATCTTCTAATCTGTTCCACTGGACCTCAGGTCTGTTTCTTTGCCGTTACCATGCTGTTTTTATCACAATAGCTTTGTAGTATAGTTTCAACTTGGGGGTTGTGATACCCCCTGCCATGTCTCTGTTACCTAGAATTGCTTTTGCTATTCTGGGCCTCTTCTTGTTCCAAATGAATTT